TTTGTTTTGTTTTGTTTTGTTTTGTTTTGTTTCATAGATGATCTCAATGCCACATGTGTGGAGCCCACAGAGCTGGCAGGGTGGCCCATCTCACGGGTGGGGAACCCACTCCGGTACATGTGCATCACGCACCTGGACCGCCAAGACTACATCTTCCTGCTGCTCATTGGCTTCTGCATCTTCGCCGCAGGCACTGTGGCCGCCTGGCTCACAGGTGTGTGTGCTGTGCTCTACCAGAACACCCGCCGCAAGTCCAGTGAGGACGAGCCCGAGGACGACGCTGGGCAAAGGGAAGAAGTTGGCAGGCGATTTTTCCAAACCAGGGTTAACTCGGGCCACGATAGTTTTCCTCAGCTGATTTAGTTGCCAGAGACCACTTTCCGATCTGCCTTCCCCCAGCCTCCCTGCTTTCTCTCTTACCCTCCCCATCCCACCACCTCAGAGCTGTCTTAAAGATCAAAGCCTACTAGTAAAATAAATAAAATGTTTGGTGGCCATTTCACAGGTTGGTCTCTTCCCACTTCACCAGCCCAAGGACACTTCCTAAAGGTCAGTGGGAGGGAGTAGGACAAAGTCTAGAAAAGCTGTTGGATCCAATTGTAGTTCAAACACCAAATTATGGTGAAGCTTGGGTGGAAGAATGATGAAAAAATCATTGATGCTTTACAAAAATTATATGGGGATAATGCCCCAAAGAAATTAGCAGTTTACAAATGGACTATTCATTTTAAGAAGGGATGAGATGATGTTGAAGATAAAGCCCACAGTGGCAGACCATCCACATCAATTTGCAAGGAAAAATTAATCTTGTTCATGCCCTGATTGAAGAAAACCAACAATTTCCAGCAGAAAAAATAGCCAGCACCACAGACATCTCAATTGGTTCAGCTTACACAGCTCTGACTGAAAGATTGCAGTTGAGCAAACTTTCCCAAAACCATGGCACCCAGATCAGTGGCAGACAAGAGCAGAGCTTTCAATAGAAATTTTAAGTATGTAGGATCAAGATCCTGAAGCATTTCTTCAAACAGTTGTAACAAGATATGAAACAAGGCTTTAGACAGTACCATCCTGAAGACAAAGAGTAATCAGAGCCATGGCCACCAAGAGGTGGAAGTGATCCAGTCAAAGCAAAAGCCAACCAGTCAAGAGCAAAGGTCATGATAACAGTTTTTTGGTATTCTTAAGGCATTTTGCTTGTTGACTTTCTGGAGAGCCAAAGAATGATAACATTTGCCTATTATAAGAGTGTTTTGAGAAAGTTACCCAAAGATTTAGCAGAAAAATGCCTGGAAAATCTTCACCAGAGAGTTCTTCTCCACCATGACAATGCTCCTGCTCATTACTCTCAACAAACAAGGACAATTTTGCAAGAGTTTTGATGGGAAATATTAGGTATCCACCTTACAGTCTTGATTTGGCTCCTTCTGACTTTTTGTTTCCTAATCTTAAAAAATCTTTAAAGGGCACCCATTTTTCTTCAGTTAACAGTGTAAAANGATCCAGTCAAAGCAAAAGCCAACCAGTCAAGAGCAAAGGTCATGATAACAGTTTTTTGGTATTCTTAAGGCATTTTGCTTGTTGACTTTCTGGAGAGCCAAAGAATGATAACATTTGCCTATTATAAGAGTGTTTTGAGAAAGTTACCCAAAGATTTAGCAGAAAAATGCCTGGAAAATCTTCACCAGAGAGTTCTTCTCCACCATGACAATGCTCCTGCTCATTACTCTCAACAAACAAGGACAATTTTGCAAGAGTTTTGATGGGAAATATTAGGTATCCACCTTACAGTCTTGATTTGGCTCCTTCTGACTTTTCGTTTCCTAATCTTAAAAAATCTTTAAAGGGCACCCATTTTTCTTCAGTTAACAGTGTAAAAAAAGACTGCATTGACATGGTTAAAGCCTCAGGACTCTCAGTTCTTTAGAGATGGACTAAATGACTGGTATCATCGCTTACAAAAATGTCCTGAACACAATGGAGCTTATGTTAGGAAATAAAGTTTATATATTTTTTTTATTTTTATCTTTTAATTTCACCTTTCTACAAACTTTTTTAAGTCCTCTCATATAAACCTTGGACAAAACAAAGGAATGAGGCACATAGAGGTGACCACCACATGCTGAATCCTTCCAAGTGCCCAGCATCATGCCCAGCTTTATACACATTTTCTCATTGGGTTAATGCTCACAACGACCTAGTCAGGTGGTCATTGTTACCTTCATTTTGCTGAGCCTTGGAGAGGTGAAGCGACCGGCTCAAGATCACACAATTGCCAAACCACAGGCTGCCTGACGCCAAAGCCCATGCTCTGTGCACTATGAGCTGCAGTCTTTTATGAAGTGCTAAACAGAGTTGCCAAGTGTGCACAGCATGGTCCAGCTCTCAAGGCTGGTCAGAGGAGGGAAAGGGAGCAGAAGAAAGGGGTGTCTCAATCCAGGCCCAAAGACCCATTCTAGGTTTTCTTTTTCTCTCTACTCAGAGCAAATTATGCTTATGTCCAAGACTCAGATCAAAGCCCCCACCCAGGAAGCTAGCTGTCCCTAAATGCCCAGCAAGACCTGGTTTTACTCTGCACTTCCACTGTGAATTGCACATGACTCTAATCACCACTTTCCCCCGAATTTATTTGGTGTGACAGTTAAGAGCATTGGTCCTGAATCGGCAACTAGGTTCCTATCCCCAGTTCTGCACCTACCACTGTATGAACTTGGTCTTCCTACTTGCAATTACCTTGAAGTCAAAGGCCACCTGCCTTCAGTGTTCTCTCTTGACACAGCACATGGTGGTGCCTTACACAAAGCAGAGGCTCAAAAAAATGTTTATTATTGCATTCTACTTAAATCCCAACCCACCAATCATTCCTACTATGTTAACCTGAAGTGAGGGGTAACCATGGGCAAGTTATTTAACTTCTGTGTGCCTCAGTTTCTTCATCTATAATGGCAATTATTATAGTGCTTATATCATATAGGGATACTGTGAAAATAAAATGGATATCAATTATAATAAGAATCTATTTTAATGAACTTTTTATTGTGGAATAATTTTAGATTTATAGAAAACTTACAAAGATAGCACAGAGAGTTCTTGTATACCCCCTTGCCCAGTTTCCCCTAATGTTATCTCATATCAAAGTGGAACATTTATCAAAACTAAGAAACTTATATTGGAATATTCCTATTAACTGAACTGCAGGCTTTATTTGGATTTCACCAATTTTTTCCAATGACGTTTTTCTGTTCCAGGATCCAGTATACCACACATGCATTTAGGATATTTTTAAAAATAATAACATATGTACCATTTATTGGACACCTCTACATGCCAGGCACTGTTCTAATTCCCAGGCAGTGTTCTTCTAATTATACACATACACAACACACACACACACATTTCTAATGATATACATACTAGGGTTCTTCAAAAAGTTCGTGGAAGTATTCATATTATCTTTTAATTCTATTTTTCCATGAGCTTTTTGAAGTAACCTGTGTGTGTGTATCATATGTATTTTATATATATATATATATATATATATATATATAGAACAACGTATGGCACATATATATATATAAAATTGAATCATCACAAAAACCCTATAAGGTGAGTATTATCATTATCATTACTCCCATTAGATCACGAAACTGAGGCTTAAGAGATTAAGTAACTTGCTGAACTTTACACAACTATTAAGGCCAGAAATCAAACTAGCTATTTCTGACTACAAACTTTTTCCTCTAAACCGCTAATCAATAGTATCTCTCACTAGATCACGAAACCGAGGCTTAAGAGATTAAGTAACTTGCTGAACTTTACACAACTATTAAGGCCAGAAAGCAAACTAGCTATTTCTGACTACAAACTTTTTCCTCTAAACCGCTAATCAATAGTATCTCTCAGGAACTTAAACTACCAAGAAAGCCTTGGCAAAAGAAATCGGCATTGCAGCTTTTCACGATAGCTTCTTCCCTAAGATTGTGCCTAGATCTTCCACCATAACTCATTCCACAAAAATGGACTGAGTGCCTACCCTGACTAGCTCTGAAAAGACCACAGAAAATAGGGCTGAGCCATGCTGCTAGGGAGCTTCCAGTCCAGTTTGGTGGAGAGACAAGTAAACAGGCCATTTTCAGGACAGAGTTGTAAGTGAAGGGGTGGCACCATATTCTAAGGGACACAAAGGAGGTCACCTCGCCCAGAAGGTAATAGGGAGTCTTGGAAGGTTTCTTAGAGGAAAAGATATCTAAGCTAAAGCTTGACGGTTGTGTTGGGATTAGTCAGGCAAAGAGGAGGTGGGTGACAAGAAGACATGTTAAGCAACAAGAACTACATGTACAAAGCCCTGCAAGTGGGAAAGAGCCTGGCATGTCACTGCAGCTAGAATAGAGTCTAAGGGAAGGAAGAGAAGAGAAATAACGTTAGAGAAGCAAGGCCAGACCCTGAAGGGCCTCACATATACAAGGGTGATTATAGGCTCTGCTGCAATAACAGATAACCCCAAAGTTCCACTGTGTTTCCACATCGAAGACTTACTTCTCACTCGTGTCCCATGTGAGTGTGGCAACCCTCCTTCATCCTGTAGCTACAACACCTAGAACGTGGGCCTCGTAGTACCACTCCAGAGAGAAAAGAGATGTAACAGGAACATAGCTCTTAAAACCCTGGGCCTGGAAATGACACATGTCACTCCCACTCCCACTTTGTGTGGCCCAAATTTACTGCAAGGAAATGTAGGCTGTTGCCAGGAAGACAAAATGCTGTGGTAAACAAAGTACTGTCTCTACCCCACCATGATAAGGAATTTGAACTTTCTCCTGTGGGCCCCCAAATACACTCAGGAGTTTTCAGCATGAAAATAAGATATCTACTTAATTTGTGTTTTACAAAGCTCAGTGTGGCTGTAAGGTAAAGAAGAGACCAGAGGGAGGCATGCAGGCCACCAGGAGACCAGCGGTATTGCAGTATTCTGTCAGGGAGTGGGGTAACAGACCAAGGGCAGTGGCTGTGGGGACAAAGAGAATTGAATGCATGCAGGAGTTATAATACATGCTGCATAATGATCAGGTCAGCATAATTAATGTAACCATCACCTTACGCATTTATCATTTCTTTGTGGTAAAAACATTCAAAATCCTCTCCTCTAGCTATTATGTAATATATAAAACTTAACTGTTAACCATAGTCACCCTGCTGTGCCACAGAACACTGGAAATTATTCTTCCTGTCTAGCTGTAGTTTTGTACCTGTGAAACTGGGTAATTTATAAAGAAATAAAATTTATCTCTTAGTTTTGGAGGCTGGGAAGTCCAGGGTCCAGGGGACACATCCAGTGAGGGCTTTCTGCTTGGTGTGGGCTCTCAGCAGAGTCCTGAGTTGGTCCAGCATACCACATAATGAGGGCTGAACAAGAGCACTTGCTAAGGTGCTCACTTGCTCTCCTTATAAGGCCACCAGTCCACACCCATAATAACCCATTAAACCATTAACCCATTACTCCA